AGAAAAAGACACCGGTCAATAAAAAATACATCGACACAAGCTAACATAAAGAACATGACAAACAAAAACAAGATGCTTAAAACTATTATTAAAACTATTCATTATCTTGATGGCACCAATGTTCAAGCAAAAAGTTTGTATATAAAATGTTTAACGAAATAACTTCAAAAATTACAATTGCTGCTGCTGCTGTGACGTGCGTAGTGAAGGATGGAATGTGATTTGCTGTGAATCCTGTGCATCTGTTATATCTTTCAATATTATTCGCTGCAAACGATAGAAAACACAGTCAGTTATTATGATTTGACGAAACAGCATTATTTATCTTTGAAGGTGCTGTTGCTTTTATTGCAGATTATTTTCGCTAAAGAAAGAAAAAAGGTTCTTTCACACAACAGTTGTTACCCAGTAAATTTAACCATACTTTTGATGTTGTTGTTTGTATAGTTATCGGCGCTTCCGTTGACTTTTTCTTTTTGTTTTCGTTGTGGAACCGATCTTAAACGAACAGAGAAAAGAATGATGTTATAAACCTCGCCGAATCTCTTCTTACGTTTTCTTTATCCCAAACAGACGGCTTCTTGCGACCAGTTCTTCCAACTCCAGCTTCAACCATTTCACGTTTCTGTAATGACGAACAATTCGGCTTTGGTATGGGCTGCTGAACTTTAATGTTCATCTTTCGTTTTACGGTGATCGCATGCATACAATCAACTGATCATCATAGCCATTTTGAAAAAGTTTCTCATAGAAATTTTAGTGTTCTAATTGAAATTTCTGTCAAAAACGCTTTTACAAAAGCTCTCTTTCTTCACTCAAATCTCCATAAAATCAATTTTCAGTGATACTTCTAAATATGCTATTTTAAACATCTACGATTTATTCTGTTAAGATTCACTTTTTGATTGGATCTTCCAGGACTCGACTCAGACTGAAAGCATGACTAGACTCACTGAGTCCCGACTTCTCACATATTTCAAGTCACGCAGATCAACGATAAATCGAATAACAAACCTGACATAACCATCGGTTAAGTTGAAAGTTGTATCATATATTATTGGTGTCCTTGTTGTTTCTGATAAACGATTGAATATTTCAATGCTTTTATCATGTGCACATATAACTAATAAATGAGGAATAAATGTTAGTTGTTGCATGAATGTTTTGTTTTGAAGACCAATTTCATATGTAGTGAATAATTCATCATGCGACAATTTAAAGTTTTGAAGATATTTATTTCTTTCAAACCTAAGAATTTCAGAATTTAGGTGTTGGAATAGTACACGTAACACTAATCCGTGCATTTGAAAATTCTAAAGTTCAACAGCACTTCTTGTTTGTTTTAACTGTTTTGTGAGCCGGAGTACCCTTGTCTTGCGGAGTCCTAGTAGAATTTTAGTATTTAACAATTTCAGATGTTTAGAATCTTAGAATTTTACAAATGTAGAATTTTAGATTATTGAATATTTTCATCTAGAAAATGTCATTAAATTTGTGTAGATATAAATTAAACAACAGTTAAACAGAAAATTTATAGATAGTACTTGTAAGTCGTGATACGTTTCGAAGAAGAATGGTATAGTACTATTTTATTCTATTGTTCTAAAATTCTATAATTCTAAAATTTTAAAATTCTGATATTCTGCGATTGTAAAATGTAAAGCTCTTAAAATGAAATACGTACTGTGTAGTTTGATTTCATCTGTATTTTATGTGCAGGGTAAAAGCGGTTGAACTTTAGAATTTTCAAATGCACGGATTAGTGTTACGTGTACTATTCCAACACCTAAATTCTAAAATTCTTAGGTTTGAAACTCATAAATTCACTCTGTTGCAGAACGTCTTTGGTGGAACGACATATCTAAAAGAAAAGACCCATGTTCAACAGTTTGAAGACATCCACATTTTGTTCCTGATCGCCAGCAGCCATGCTATCTTAAATGAGAAAGTCTACAATTTACCGATAGTGGCGTAGCCAGGATTTTAACAGTGTCTCAAGAAGAAATAAAGATCTTTTATTTTGCCTACACCTTAGAGGTATTTTTTATGCGTTGGAGTTTTTACTTACTGAATCATTTTTTAATTCACACTTTTCTATATTATTGGAATCAATCATGTACGTCAACGGGCCTTAAGAGCTCAAATCCTTTAAACAGATTCCGTTCTTGTTCGTAATTCTTTTCATTCAGATTCTGTGCTATTCTCGGTAATACTGCCACCGTGAAACAGTGCAGAATATTATGAAAAGTAGAACAATAGCATAAATCTTAAGCAATAAGGTATGTTACAAAGTCTACTTTTTCAATAACTGTTATTTACTAAACAAACGAATATGTTTTGGCGTGACAATGAGAGAATCCTGAGATATTTTACGTTCATAAACAACCACAATAATACAAACAAACAAAAAAAAAAGAAATAAGGAAAAATTTAACTGAAGTCACACAATAGGCGAGTATAAAATTTAGTTGATTTGAATATTCATGTATTTCGTCTGCTCGTATCAGATAATTCAATAAATCTCGTTCAATATTCAATAATTCATGGGATTTTTCTTAACTGCACCTACACTATCACTAATGAAAGTAGAAAATATAATCGCAAGTGTCCTATTGATTATATAATAGTAGTACTTACCCAGCAGAGTCACCGCGAACCCGTTTTGTACTTGAATTAACAACTTTTTTAGTACCTTGATTAATTTTTGAATTAATAAGTAGCAATTCCTGTTTTCATCACTACTTGACGATGAGTTTTCCGCGAATTTGCATACAAAACTACCATTTTTAAATTTTAAATTCGTTACTATCGTGCACCTTCAACGGCACAACTCAAGAAGAAAGCAACTTTAAACCTTGTCCGTGACCAAAATATCTTCCACACGTCGAGAAGCCATTTTTACGGCTTTTCAACTTTAATATAGTTGAATTCTCTTTAGATATGTATAATTTGGACAAATTTAAGAAGTCTAAGTCGATCTTAACCCTTTAAAGCTGCATGTCCATTCAAATGGGCATTGGCATTATCATTGTAACAAGTTGAGAAAGCACTGTTCGAAAAAACTAATCTACATTGGTTTTCGAGAATTAGAGCGGCTATCGAATGGTAAAAAAAGTATTTTGTTTATGTTTTATGCTAGCTGACGAGGGAACCGCCGTAGATGCTTTCTAATGAGTTATACCTCAATCGATAGAGTATATCGAGCTAGTAAAAAACCCTAAAAGGATTCGAGTGCATGGCTTGACCCGATTTTCTGAAAAAACAGTTTTTCAGAAACTCTAAAAAATAACTAAAATCTTTCTCAATGAAGCATAATTCTAGCAATTTCTGATTAAAACAAGACACCTTCCAGCTCTACACGACCTTGCTCTGCAAAGTTATAGAATTTACAAGAAAAGCCCTAACTGTTCGTTGCAAGCTCAAAGCTACAGAAATAAGGAAAAAATTAATTTTTAGGGCTTTTCTTGTAAATTTTATAACTTTGCAAAGAAAGGTCGTTTAGAGCTGGGAGATGTCTTGTTTTAATCAGAAATTTGTGGGCTACAATTATGTTTCACTGAGAAAGGTTTTGGTTATCTTTTAGAGTTTCTGAAAAACTGTTTTTCTAGAATACCGGTTCGTCAAGAGCCATGAACCCGAATCTTTTTAGGGTTTTTACTAGCTTGATATACTCTATCAATTGAGGTATAACTCATTAGTAACGGAGGATCACCTGTGGCGATTCCTTCGTGAGATATTTAAATTTTAAAATGAAGAATATTTTCGAAAAAATTAACTTTTTTAATTTAATTCCTTTAAGTACTCTGGGAAAAGCTTTTTATCAAACAACTTTTCAAAAATATGTAGGGACGTGTGCTCTTTCAAATTAAGTCAGCTGAAGAAATTATTGTTTAAACTGTAGGCTTGAAGACTGCAGATGGTACCAAACGAAAGATCATATTTTGCTGGGATGTCAGGCTCATTTTCTTGGTCATTCTTGACTTTTTTCACCATCTAAGCTCGTTTTCTGTCTCAATTTCTTCAAACTTAATGGTCTAACCTTAGATATGTTTGGTCTTGAGTTTCTAACGAAAATTTTGAAAACAATCATTGTTTTCAAACTTTGATTTTAAATTTAAATAATAAAAACTTAACTTTTTTAAAAATGCAAAGTAATTTTCTAATAAGTCTGAACTACTAGTTTTTGTTTTATTTTTTTGTTCTTAATTTTCGTGTTTTCTATAGTTATACAATCTATAGTGCAAAATTATCTTTTCATATTTGATCTTTCTACCTATGCACACCATATTTCCTTAAAAATAAGGGCAAATAACATTATTTTAGTTATTTTGGCTGTTGAATATTATTATTCTTCATTTTTGTTACTTTTATTTTGTGCAATAGAACTAGCCGTTTATTTTCAATTTTGTTGCACTGTACATAAACACGAGTGAATTGCATAGCCATTGTACCGTTCATGAAAAAACCTGAATTAATTGGTCGTTTTGAGATTGTATTCTTCAAGAAAATCAATAACTGAAGGAATTGACTTAGATTCAGAATTGGGTCGAAGACTAAGAATAGTGTAGGAAATATATATCAAACGAGATCAGGTGAACTTAATGTAATTCAATCAATTAATTAGTGGTTCTAAGACTGATAACTGCAAGAAAATCTGTAATTGAAAATACTTTCAATTACAGATTTTCTTGCAGTTATCCGATTTTCGTGCAGTTATCAACTTACATTTTGAATTGGTCGAACGCTCAGAACTGTGCAACGACATATTTATACTGCAAGATGAGGCCGAATACTGAGAATAGTGTAGGAAATACGTTTGGTAAAGAGGTAAAAGTAATGTAGTTAGTAAGTTACAATGCCAGAGTTTAAAAGTTAATGCAGATCTGTTACTACAGAGTTGCAGTATTGTTTCAAAGTTTGGTTTCATAAATAATAAACAATATAGATTTTTACCGAATGGTATTTTCTTTCTTAAATGAATTACATTTAGAGAAATTACGTTACTGATTTCTGAGATCGCCAGAGAATGTTTTCCGAAGTCGAGCAGGTAATTACATTAAAACGAAATATGCTGCGCAATTATACAATATACTTGGTTCATCTGCAGACTACTTATTCAAACGTTTTAATAGTCTGCTGCTAGAAATGTTCTGGTAGATTTTTATTAGTGCAGAAAAATCAGGTATAAAAGCATGTAATTAACTAAAAATAACTTTTCGACTCAAAACAGAAAAAAATTGCAGACACAACGGTGTTTTTAAGCCGCTTTTTATCCACGTGTTCGTTTCCTCTATTCCGCGAAAGGCAAAACTTTTATCGCTAATATAGTCCACCTATCGAAAACTATTCTGCTCCTCCAAAAAACGAACGTACACCTTGAATTTCTTTGCGAAATGTCCTCTTTCTCTCACTTCTTCCGATCGAAGTCGACTTCAATCAGCTAAAATCTCCCTGGTCGAAGTCGACTTCGATCAGAAGAAAATAGGAATGAACTGGTAGAGAGTGAAATATAAACTCCCTGGTGAAAGTCGACCTCGATCAGGAAAAATAAGTGTGAAGTGATAGAGAATTGAAACTTTCCGGGTTGAAGTCGACTTCGAGCAGACAAAATCAACCCGGTCGAAGTCGACTCTGACCACGGAGTTTACATTCGATTTTCTACCAGTTCACTCCTATTTC